TTTTCAATAGTTAGTTATTATTATATACCAATTCAGGGCCGTAGCCAGGGTGAATGGACAACCGAGGCAAGCGGCCGCCGATGGCGGGAGAAACTAGGGGGGTCTGGGGGCATTCTCCCCCTAGAAAATGTGAAATTCAGTCTCTCGGAAATGCAAGTTGCAGCGTTTTGAATTGTGGGCCTTTTGGTAACTAAAAATTGAACAGATTTAACCGGAATTCATCATGCAATATTTATGAAACAAAGAACCTACACGTACAAAAATAACATTATTTTTTATATTTTTTGCACAAAATCAGTCGTACGAAATCGGCTCTGAGAGGCTAAGATAATATTAGTGATGAAGAACAAAAAGCATCGGCAAAATTTTGCCGAGGCGAGTGCCTCGGTTGGCCTCTTACTAGCTACGGCCCTGCAATTACATGTATATGGTACTTGATGGTCGAAACAAGAAAACGATCTGATGTTTGATATGCTTTTGCAGAATGCATGAAAAGTAGAGATATGTGTTTACATTAATAACTAGTAAAACTATTGATGAGGAAGAGCGGTAACATTGAAATCTGTTCACAGAAAAAAAAAGAAATCTGTTCACAGGAATTAAAGACGCCTGCAAGAGGTTTGAATAGAAAGTGAAACACTTACAAGGTTCTAGTTTCCTGTTTCCTTTGTCTTTCTATGTTTATAGTCAGTTAAAAAAATATAAGAAAATCAACAAAGAAATAATTATAATATAACAATGTGTAAAACTGAATAAAATGAAAAAATCTAAAGGCTGAATTAGATGGCAAAAGTTTTACTCACAACTGCTGTATGTAACCTTGTGCAGCCAAGTCATCCTTGTAACATGGTGACAGCTGTAGTAATTATTTTAAAGCAATGTTGTAATGGTGACGAAGACATGTGTATCGAATTGTATAAATCGGCCTTAAATGATGGTGGATACATTCTTAAAAAAATCGGTTATTAATTCTTTTATCAATATAAATTATTCGAATTGCAAAGTTTTGACTTTTTTGATAAATATCTTGGACTAAGTTTAGACCTTGACTGTGAGCTTCCACTTAACGAATCAATCCCAGCGTGCAATGCATTTCCATTTATCAAAGACTCGCATTTTGTGTAGGTTTGTTCTTAATAGGAAATCCAACATAGACAAAATTACACTGGAAAAAATCGCGCACTTGAAAGTTTGTAAATGTGATTTAAATACAACGATGTAAGTGTCCAAAATGATGTAAATAATTTACATCAAATTTACATCATTTTGGACAGTCACGTCATATTAACATCAAATTTGCAACCTTTTAAAGTGCGCGATTTTATCCAGTGTGTTACGCCAATTTTTAAGAATATTATATGAAAACTAATAATCGCTACTACGCGCGGCGGTTAGATTAAAACAGTGGGGTAATCACTCGTTCTGTTGAAGCCTTTTTTACCTAGCCTGTTCAATAGTATTAATTTTTGTATGTTCTTTTATGATATGCTGTTGCTATATTTTCGTCTCAATTTGATAATTCTGTATAATTATCTACTGTACAAAACCAGTTTAGATTCCTTTCCATTTGCTTCTCCTTTAGAAATACAAGCATCGTCGATATATACATAGCTAGCCAGACCTACTTCATCACTGTTAATTTCGTATTGCATTAGTTTGTAAAAATCATCGATCCCTTGCTGATGGCCATATCGATCATGCTGATTCTGAAATTAGTWAATTGTTATGAGACAGATGGAATATCCCCCGGATAGAAAGTGAAAATCCATACCCTGTTCAAGACAAATCGGAAAAATAAGGAATAGCAATCTGCGCCGCAACCRTCAAAAGTGCAATTATACTGACATCCATCAAAGAAAATAAGATTCGAAGTTTTTGATAACACGTTAATCCTGGGACAGTGAAACGGTATTTCTATTATTTCTACGGTATTTCTTATGAAAATATTRCCCTGTCTAAGACACRCACAAAAAATATATCGGTCTTTTATCTAAATCGTCGAGCCTGTTTAAGACAATTTCGGGTGAAATGTATACCCTGTTTAAGACAGCAAGGCCAAAAACCATACCCTGGCCAGCGGCACGTCCCCGTATAGCAAATATATGGGAGTACCCCCCATCCCATTATAATTTCAAGGACCAAAGGGTATTATAAATGTTGCCATAGTAAACTTCTTTTGAAGCCTCGCTCATGCAGTTATCTATAAATATCTAATAGTGTTAACTGTTCCCAAACTTCACAACCAATAAGCGAAAAATATTTCGAGAGACTTCGAAAATACAACAGCATTCCAACACACTGTTCAGACACGTCCCTCTTGCATTTTTTAAATTTGCATTGACAGAAAATGTTAATTTAACATTTAACCTTAAAATTGTATCTTTTGGCTAACAAGAAGGTGAGACGTGAACTGTGATCATGTGTGATCCACCGTGGCATGTACAGCCTAGAAAGGTACAAGAAAATTTCGCCCTTGTAGTACTCATAATCCCAGGACCGCCAGGACCAGGACCACCAGGACCAGGACCACCAGGACCAGGACCACCAGGACCAGGACCACCAGGGATTATGAATGTTCTCATAGCAAAATCTCTTTCAAAACTTCTCTCATACATTTATCTTCGCTATAAATATCTAATCTTATCACTTCAAAACCCTAAGAAAAATGTTTCTAGAAGACGAAAATAATACTCAGTCTTCAAACAGAATGTACTTAATTCGATATCCAGACAATGCCTTATATAAATGCAAAGTGATAAAAAAAAAATAACTAAAATCCCCAAACCAACTAATAAACATAACTAAACATCAATCAAAAACATCTTAATTCATCGGAGCAAAATTTATCAAACACAATATCAAAATAATTATGAGAAGTTTATTCCATTTCAACACTTTATTTCCTACAAATGAGGACGGACTTATTCTTATCGTCGAGTCAATGTGGATGACACATTTAAATAACATAAACGTTTCAAGGGTTTCTTCTTCTTCTTCTTCTTCTTCTTCTTCTTCTTCTTCTTCTCTTCTTCTAATCGTCGAGCATTGTGGATGACACATTTCACTAACATGAACGTTTAGAGGGTTTTTCTTCTTCGTCGTCGTCTTTTTTAATGAAATCTAGTTTTTCTTTCGCAAATAAGATATGCAAGTCGATCTATTTTCTGGTATTGTGCAAATCTCTTTTCAAAATCATGATATTGTGATTAAACTACTAGACCACCTGCATAACAGATACAGTACTTCCTAATATGGAGAAGCCATATTTGGAAATGCAAAATGTAATTAAACGACCATACTAGTTTAACTTGTTAGCGGAGTTTTATCTTTGAAATCTGCGTTTGGAATTTAACATTGAAGAAACGCACACAAAAATAGCCAACTCAAATGTTAAAGGTAAAGTTAACATTAAATGTCGTTAAATGTAGTCAAAAGTAACTTTGTATGTTACCTTAATCTTTTCAATAACAAGAGAAAATCATCATTCCAAAACATTGCATTTAGTCGTTATTTAGCTATCAAATTTATTGGTTCTTCACTAGCTAGAAAACGGAATTTCATATGAATATAACTTTGAATGAATGCTCCGAATTCATAAAGAACACTAAATGAAGTTGAATCTTTCTAAAAGCCTCACGACTTCAAAACTTGMGCTTTTTAATTCTGTTGCAATTGGAAAAGAAAAGGAATAGAAAAAAAAATGGCAAAATTTTAAAGTACAGGTGACCTTAACTGAATTTTCTTTAGCTGGAATGTATAACTCTTCGAATGTGGAGTCCTTGATTTCAATCAAACTTTATAGCTCGTCGTTGATGTTAGATATTTCATTCGGCATTTATTGTCATAACGAAAAAATGAGCCCCTATATATACTGATTTGATAATTCATTCACTCTTTTTGTAAACGTCGAAATTATTTTATACCAATGAATCTATAAGAGAACAACTAATGAATCCTTCGTTATAAAAAATAAGATACTGACACATCGAGTATGAGTATATATATTTGTGTGAATACGATTTGTTTTGCGCTTTCAAAGACAGTGAAGAAGGTTTATCGACTGTAAAAATATATAAGTATAGTTTTGGACGTATATCGAACTATTGAACTATCAAGATATGTTACMCTATCGATGATTACGCAAAGTCTCATATTTTTAAAGTTTCGTCTGCCAAGGAAGGGGATCAGCCACATATATTAGTGAATATATTAGTGAAGAAGTTAATTAATAACGACTGTAATTTCACTTGGGAGCTATTGAAAACAAATCATAATAAAAATCGATAACGCTAGCATTAAAAGTGTTATGGAACCCCATAGATTCGAAAACGACAATGCAACGAGAGGGTGCATTGATGTTTACCCTTGTTTTTTAGGCTTATACTGATGAAAAGGTAAAGCCTTAACCCTTTAATGCTTTAAGTCCCAATCGTACATATTTGTACGATAATCGACCACTCTTTTTTAAAAAAATCCCTTGTTGATATAWCTACCAATATCACACACACTTGTGAAGTACAACTTACTGCTGAAGTTTTGTGTTGTAAGCGTTTTACCTATTGTTTAGATAATATACCTTTTGGCCACCATGTACCTTTCCATGACGTCCCTCRTCACATGCTCTCGCAACACTTGTCCAATTATGAGGTACACTGGCAGCTTTAACCTCAATAACCACGTGAAAGATCATGCCTTATTAGGAAGCTCCTACAAGAATCTTACTACTGATACAATCCAGGAATGCTTTGGTGCCTGTGTCCAAGATTGTAGGTGTGTGTCCTATCAACTGTATGATAAACGATGTGAGCTTATTGACGAGAACAGACACACAGCACCATCTGACCTTTTTCAGCCAATGGTTGGATATTTGTTCTCGGAACTCAAACAGGACTTCAGAAATAAGGTATGATTCCATTTCCTGCTGTTCCCATTAATTCAATTCTTATAATTTTAATTGACGCCTGACTGAATGGCTCACTCGAATGATCGTACGACTGGTTAACTTACAGATGGTCTAAATGATGAGAACTAGCAGTAAATCAGATGATGGTCTGACTGACTAAAAGAYCAACTGGCTGCTTGACAGACTGACTGAAAAACTGACCGACTGACCGACTAAATGATTGGCTTGCTGTCTACTTTTTTATTGAATCAAGTATTATATCGCTTTGTCAGGCATYCGACTGTTCAGGGCAATGCAGCAACGGATGTTGTCGTTTCTCGCCTTGTCAAAATGGAGGAACATGCGTCGAATTGTGTGACAACGTGACTCGTAAGTTTGAGTGCCAATGTGCGACAGGATACCGTGGTAGGGCGTGTGAAATACCTGTATCATGCAATGCATATAGCRCACGGTCTTCGGCGAGACTTTATCCAATATATASTTCAAAGARCACCTTTTATAATGCATTCTGTGAYATGACCTCTGAACCTGGAATGGTTTGGACTCTCCTTGAATCGTTTGCCCTCTCAAACAATGCCAAATACCAATACAAACCTTTGAGTCAAGATTTCTCTGTTAACGAGGGCAACTTTAACTGGAACGACTATCGMCTATCACTCTCAGTCATGGAACACGTCAAAAGTCACACAACTCACTGGAGAGCAACCTGCAGGTTTGACAAGGATGGTTTTAACAAAACTGATTACGTTCGTGGTCTTCTGAGTGACATGGATATTTTAAAGCCAAGGAACTATAAAGCGACAGGCTGTTTTCGCGTTGAATACATTAATATAAGAGGGAAGGAATACAAAAATTGCACCACGCACATGCGACAAGATGACGTGCACATTTTCATGGATAGCCTTGTTGGCAAGAGTTTTGGTTGCGATGCATACTTTTCAGAGAACGCTCACGACTTCAGTGAAAACTTTGGAGTTTATTTCAACATCAATAAAAAACATCGATGCAGTTCCTCGCCATCGTCTACAACACAGTGGTGGATGGGATCACTTGTTGGTGGACTCCGGGATCCCTAAGGAGTGGAAATACCCTTCACGACTCTAAGGTGGTTAATCTGACGAACTCCAGTGCCCAACACCACGTGTCTGCGACATCGGGAGCGCGACAATTATTTTAAAGTTTGATGAGCCGCATCCAGAACTAGATGACGTGCACATTTTCATTGATAGTCTTGTTGGCAAGAGTTTTGGTTGCGATGCATACTTTTCAGCTCACGACATCAGTGAAAACTTTGAGCGTGTTGTATCGCGGGGGTTAAAGTTTATCACCCGATACAACGCGCTTTCACGTTCTGTATACATTACTGCTCGTTTTTATACACACTTTCACCTACTACCTAAGCAAAGGTGATTTTCAGCTAGTAGTTTTAATTATTGCCTGTACTGAAATTCCTTATATTATGACCTCTTTGAATTTTGCACAAAAGACGTCGTGAGACTCCCTAATGATTATCA